AATAATAATAATAATGATGATGATGATGATGATGATGATGATGATGATGATGATGATGATGTATATATTTGTAACCTTTATCTTGACCTGCAGTAGTTAACTTCATTGGCAAAGAAAGGGCAAACAGGAAGAAATGATAATGAATGTAAAAATTTAATAATTTAAAAAAAAATCAAAATTATTGCGGCACCGTAAAGACTGTTATATTTTAGCATGAGCTTTCATTTGCAAGTCCACTAGTCCATGACACTAACATTGAAATATATCAGTTAGTCTTACTAATTCTTTATTTTTCTTTTGTTTTTGCCAGATATGCTAGCGTAGACTAAGACTAACGCAGCTATCTCTTCTTAAAAAAACATTAATGCTCTTCAGTTTAAATATGGTGAAATGATGACAGTGCAGAGGACACTCAAGAATTAACATGTGGAAAATGAAACCTCAAGCAGATTAAAAATTAAAAATTACTGTAGGAGAAATGATTCATGGTATCTGAAATCTCTAGATAGAAATATTAAAATTAAGAGTGTCACTAGAGAACACATAATAGCTAATTCATGAAACTTAAGATGCAGAATCGTCTGTCAAAGCATATTACCTCTCCGGAAATATCTTATGGTGGTACAAAAACCTATGTTGAACTAAATTTTTGAGAGGGAAGAATTTGCAAAGGGATAGATGTGTGCTGTTCTAATGTATGCAATGTTTTTTCTCAACAGATCCTAGATCAAGAATGAAACATGAATCCTTTGGCAAAAGTGCAGTCATGCTTGGAGAGTGACCCTTCTGCTCCTGCCATTTTAGACTTCTTGAGTTAGTGGATGGTTTGTTTCAACTGACTTCTGATTAAATGTATGAAGAAAACTTAAGTGTTTCACAGCCTTCCTGATACCGCTTGAATCTTTAAAGATAGTAACAACGTGTGTGCTGAAAGAAGACAACCTTTTTTTGAACAACATAAGAATTTTACATTGTGGCTGATGGTTTTCTCTGGAAGGATCTAAAGAATCCAAAGTGCTTAGAATGACTCTCAGAAAATCACACCATCATTTCAGTCTGAGGACCTTGTTAGCCTTAATTACTCCATGTATTCAATATTAGTAATGTGATGACCTTTTCAGTTTTTTCTAGGTATAATGTAAGCTTCACCTATTTGCAAAAGGAAATGGAGGGATTACGGACCTTACTATACAGCCTGCATGTGACAGCTGCCACAATCTGTAGTGGGTTACAGTAGCTATGTGACCTTACATTGCTATTTCTACAGCCTTAAGAGGCATCCTGAGAAGGGATTCTCTGCCAGTTCCTGAGCTTTCTGTAACATAGGCTATTTGCCAGGTGTTGACATGATGTGTGAGGTAATGCCTACCATCAATGAGAGTGACCCCTTGGGGTCACAGCCAGGCTCTGATTCTGATGCCAACTTTGAACAACTCATGGTGAACATGCTTGATGAAAGAGACAAGCTTCTAGAGACTCTTCGGGAAACACGTGAGACTCTGTCTGTGACTCAGGGAAGGCTACAGGAGACTTTGCATGAGCGAGACCAGTTACAGAGACAACTGAATTCTGCTCTACCTCAGGTAAGAGTTTCAGTAGTAGGCTTTCTATTAGCTAAAGAATATAAGAGTAACACTGATTGTAGTATTGTCACTCATTCTAATTTACTTCTGAACAGAATTTGAAAACAATAAATTGTAATTAATACATTGCTCAAAACAATAAAGGTGTAACTGAGGGCTTGAGTATACTGTTGAAATGAACTGAGAGCTGGATCAGAGTTTTTGAAGTCAATTTAAAATGTGATTTTTAGTCAGAGTGTGCATTCTCTTGGGACAATATTTAATCCGGTAGTACACTGCCTGGCATCAGTGGTGGAGTGGGAATGGAGGAGGGTGAGAAAGCAGCAGAGGTATTACTGCCATTGCCGCTGCCATGACTGCTGCTGCCTCCTCCCTTTCTTTCCCATTCTCACTTTGGGAGTGTAGGTTTTGCCTTGACCAAGGCTTAGTAACAGCAACCCCTTCTTCTCCTACCTTTCTTAGCTGGAAGCCAGCTGCCCCAGCAGTTCTACTTCCCTGGAGGAAGAGAGAAAGATCAGGCAGGCCAAAAGGAGTTAAAAATATCGGTCCAGGTCCTTGTCATATTTTAATGTTTTTGTTTTTTGTTTTATCTTTTTCAAAGTGGAATAGTGCTAGATCCAGTTTTACAGATAGGAAAAATATATAACGGATTGGACTGCAAGGTTACCCTGCAGCCCGGACATCTGTGGCATCCAATATTTTTATTTTTAGCCGCCCAGAGTAGACTTCGGTCTGGAAGGGAAGGGAATCAATCAATCAATCCGACAAACAAACAAACAAATAAATGAATAAATAAATAAATAAATAAACAAACCCTACAGACACTATTTACTCTGACACAGGTGAGCACACTTGCAAAAATGATTCAAAATAAATCACATTCATAATTGAGTTAAAATAGACTTAAAAGCCTCCTCAAGGTGTTAAAAACATGCTTTCTGCCAAAAAAGAGCTTCCTTGCAAAAAAAAAAGTTTAGCTCTACATCATGCAGATCGACATTTTAAAATCGATATGAAGTGTGCTAACTCCGACATAAAGCAGGGCTATTATGACGTGTAACTGAGTCCTAAGGTACATGTGAGGGGGGACAGATAAATTCATTCTTTTTACTTAATGACTAAACTTGTTTTTAGTTACTCTTATTTTTACTTTTATCAAGAAAGGACCTTAGAGGGACTTACTCAAATGTGAGAATGTAAGGCATTCAGGCTTAATTGCTAGTGGTGGGCAAGAGAGTGGCTACCTTTCATTGTTGTCATTGTATTCAAAATAGTAGCCACTTGTCTCCAGAAGATTTTTTTTAATAAAACAAAAGTTTTAAAAACCCTTTATGATCCCCCCTTTTGTATATCACGTATCACTTGAAACTGGTCCCCCACACTGCATGGTACAGATTCCTCTTGGTCTTCAGTATCCAGGAGTCCTCCCAAGCTACACGCCTGCTGTTGTGTGTGTTCACCCCATGGCACTAAGATTCTTAAAGATTTGAGATCACATTTGAAGAGTCAGTTGTGTCAGTCTCTCACAGAATCGGCATACATTGATTCCTTGGAAGAAACCAGAGCAGATGGACACTACTGTGTGAATATGGAGTTTTAAATATTACAGAAATATGGTATTTATTAAACAAAAAGGGCGTCAGGAATTATCTGATGGGAAGGCCTGCCGAAACATCCATGTTTTTAATTGATTTTTAAAGATACCCAACGAGGGAGCCATGCGAATCTCAGGAGGTAGGTTGTTCCAGAGGCGAGGAGCCACCGCCGAGAAGGCCTGATTTCTTATCTTTTCCTTCCGGGCCTCCCTCGGCGTTAGGCTCCTCAGCCTCACCTCCTGGCTCGCACGAGTGACACGGGTAGATCTTGGTGGGAGTAGGCGTTCCGCCAAGTATCGAGGCCCTAAACCGTTTTGGGCTTTGTATGTAAGCATCAACACTTTGAAGTCGATGCGGGAGGAGGAGCTTCGTCTTGGTGAAGCTAGCAGCTCTCGGGAATAGCTCCCGGGAAAAGCTAGAACCACTTCGGTCTGGGACCCTCCCAGAAACGGGAGAGCCAAGGAAGAGTCAGGAGAGACCCTTCTGCAGCAGTTGGTGAGCCACAGAAGTTAGAAGATTGGGCAGCAACTCGATTTTTCTTTCTTCTGGAAATTCACATCAGCACAGACGAAGACGGGCGCCATTTTTGGCAACTAGCCAAAGACAGCTCCATTCGCCGAGAATAAGAAAACAGAAGCACGGCGAAAGTATGCATCAAAGTAAGTGGAAGCCCTTGTTCTATGAAAAACCTCATTAAATAAAGAACAAGTGATTGTGTGCAAATTTATGACCAAATGAGATAAGGAGCGGCATTCCTAGCATACCAGCTTTTACTCAAGCTGAAGGTCGAGTCATTTTTAAAGGAACAGCCAAGCAGAAATAGCTCGTGTCTCCATTAAAGGGAAAAAAAAAAAACTCTTGAAGAATCAACTGACAGGCTTTGAAAAAATTAATTCTGTTGCAAGCTGTTCACTTTGGACCCTTTTCCTCTTTGGATATATATTTTTAGACTGTGTGTGACTCTGCTTTCCGTGGATAATATATTTGCCGGGACTCTGATTGCTGGACCTCCCTTTTCGGGGGAGGAGAAGGAAG